GGACCCCCCGTTCATGGTGGCCATGGATGGGTCACGGTGGCCATGGTTGGGTCATGGTGGCCATGATTGGGTCATGGTGGCCATGGTTGGGTGACGGTGGCCATGGTTGGGTGGTGGTGGCCATGGTTGGGTCATGGTGGCCATGGTTGGGTCATGGTGGCCATGGCTGTTTTATGGTGGCCATGGTTGTGTCACCCCTTGGCTGCTCCCCACCCACTCCAGGAGCCCTTTTAGGGACCCCCCCAAACCCCCGGTGACATTTTGGGGTGTCCTGTGTCACTCTGTCCCCCCAGGTGACATTTTGGGGTGCCTGTGTCACTCTGTCCCCCCCCGGTGACATTTTGGGGTGCCCTGTGTCACTCTGTCCCCCCCAGGTGACATTTTGGGGTGTCCTGTGTCACTCTGACCCCCCTGGGTCACATTTTGGTGTCCCCCGGACCCCCCAAACCCTCGGGTGACATTTTGGGGTGTCCCGGCTCCCTCTGGGCCCTTTTGGGGTCGTTTTTGGGGTCGCATTTCGGGGTCCCCAAATCGCGGGCGCTCCCTTTTGGCGGGAAAAGCCGAGACCCCGCCCACAGAGGGAGGAGCCCAACCCAAATCAGCAATAATTCCATATATGGAGATGTGGGCGTGGCCACAAACGAGCGCGAATACCGAAGGGGCGTGGCCAGAAAGGGGGCGTGGCCTCGCTCTGTCATGGCGGCGCCCACAGCGGACGGTGCGCGTGGGGGGGGCGGGAGGATTTGGGGATTTTTGGGTTTTTTGGGGGGATTTTTTTTGGGTTTTGGAGGGATTTGGGGTTGGGGGCGGGGCTCTGACCTCTCCCCTCCCCCCGCAGCCCCTCAGGGGGTCCCGGACCCCCCCGGGCCCCCCCCGGACGCGGCCGCGGAGGAGCCCGAGGAGGAGCTCGAGTGAGTTTTGGGGGGATTTTTGGGGGTCCCTGAGGGGGTTTTGGGGTCCCTGACCCCCCCTCGGCTCTCCCCAGTTTCCCCCAGTACGAACTGGGCCGCCCCCCCCGCCAGGTCTGGGGGGCGCGGGAGGAATTCGCGCGGCGCCCCGAAAATTTCCTGCGAGGCTGCAAATGGTGAGAGACCCCCCCAAAAAAAACCCAACTGGTTTATACTGGTCCATACTGGGCAGGGTGGCCGCCAGCAGCCGGGACAGCCCCGTGCACCTCTGGGACGCCTTCGACGGGAGCCTGAGGGGGTCATTCCGTGCCCACAACCACCTGGTGGGACTGGGAGCACTGGGGGGAACTGGGGGGACTGGGAGGGAACTGGGAGGGACTGGGAGGGGACTGGGAAGGAAATGGGCGTGGCCTAAAGGGGCGGGGTCAGTGGGAGGGGCAGGGGTGGATCTGACCCTTTATTTGGGGTTAAAATGGGGTTTGAGGGGAAAATCAGGGGTTAAAAGGGGCGTGGCCTGAAGGAAATGGGCGTGGCCTAAAGGGGCGGGGTCAGTGGGAGGGGCAGGGGTGGATCTGACCCTTTATTTGGGGTTAAAATGGGGTTTGGGGGGAAAGTAAATGGTTAAAAAGGGCTGGAAGGGGCATGGTCTATAGAAAAGGGGGTGTGATCTAAAGAAAGGGGGCGTGGCCTAAAGGGGCAGGGTCGGTGGGAGGGGCTGGGGTGGGGCAGGGGCGGTTCCCACCCTTTATTTGGGGTTAAAATGGGGTTTGAGGGGAAAGTCAGGGGTTAAAAGGGGCTGAAATGGGCGTGGCCTAAAGGAAGGGGGCGTGGACTAAAGGAAAGAGGCGTGGCCTAAAGGGGTGGGATTAGTGGGAGGGGCTGGAGCAGTTCCCACCCTGTATTTGGGGTTAAAATGGGGTTTGGGAGGGAAAGTAAATGGTTAAAAAGAGCTGGAAGGGGCGTGGCCTATAGAAGGGGCGTGGCCTAAAGGGGCAGGGTCGGTGGGAGGGGCTGGGGTGGGGCAGGGGCGGTTCCCAGCTGGTATTTGGGGTTAAAATGGGCTTGAATGGGAAAGTCAGGGGTTAAAGGGGGCGTGGCCTAAGGGGGCGTGGCCTAAATGGGTGTGGTCTGGGAGTGGGCGGGGCCCTCAGGCAGGGCCTAAAGGGTGGAAAGGGGTGGGGCTTAAAGGGGCGTGGCCAGGCAAAATGTAAAGGGTGGGGCACAAGAGGGCGTGGCCTTGATGGGCGTGGCCCAAGGCAGGGTTTGGTGGGCGGAGCCCAAGGGGGTGTGGCCTCACCCATGAGGGCGTGGCCTCACCTTTATCTCCACCCCCCCAGAGGGCGGGAATGGCCAGCGAGGCCTGATTGGCTGCCTGGCCTTCAGCCCCAGCCAATCGCTGTTCGCCTGCGGCTCCTATGGGCGGAGCCTGGGGCTGTACCCGCTGGAAGGGGGCGGGGCCGTGGCGCTCTGGCCCCGCCTCCCGGCCGCGCCCACCCAGCTGCGCTTCAGCCCCTGCGGGGCGCGGCTCTACGCCGGTGGGAGGAAGGTGGGCGGGGCCTCGCGGGGGCGGGGCCTGACGTGGGCGTGTCATTGGTGGGCGTGGCCTGACGTGGCTGTGTCACTGGTGGGCGTGGCCTGACGTGGGTGTGTCATTGGTGGGCGTGGCCTGACGTGGGTGTGTCCTTGGTGGGCGTGGCCTGGCGTGGGTGTGAGTTTTGGGTGGGGCATGGGGTGGGCGGGGCCTGTGGGTTATGAGGGCGTGGCCTCGTGGGCAGGGCTTTGTGGATTGTGGGTGTGGCCTCAGCGCTGGGGGCGTGGCCTGTGAGAATTGTATGAAATGGGCGTGGCTTTAGGGCGTGGTTTCCGTCTGATTGACATCTCCCCGTGTGGTGGGTGTGGCTTTGTGGGCGGGGCTTATTTGCTGGGAGGTGGCCTGAGGGTTAAGGGGGCGTGGCTTCGGGGCTGATGGGCGTGTCCCGGGCTGGCCCCGCCCCCAGGACCGGCACATCCTCTGCTGGGACCTTCGTGTCCCCGAGCGTCCCCTCCTGGCGCTGCCGCGGCGCGTGGCCACCAACCAGCGCGTGACCTTCGACCTCGACCCGTGAGTGACCCCCGCCACCGCGCCGGCCTCTGGGGACACCGGGGACACCGGGGACATTGGGGACATTGGGGACACCTGGGACATCGGGGACACCTGGGGACATCGGGGACACCTGGGGACATCGGGGACACCTGGGGACACCTTCTGGGGACACCGGGGACACCTTCTGGGGACATTGGGGACACCTGGAGACACCTTCTGGGGACACCTGGGGACACCGGGGACACCTGGGGACACCTTCTGGGGACACCGGGGACACCTTCTGGGGACATTGGGGACACCTGGAGACACCTTCTGGGGACACCTGGGGACACCGGGGACACCTGGGGACACCTTCTGGGGACACCGGGGACACCTTCTGGGGACATTGGGGACACCTGGAGACACCTTCTGGGGACACCTGGGGACACCGGGGACACCTGGGGACACCTTCTGGGGACACCGGGGACACCTTCTGGGGACATTGGGGACACCTGGAGACACCTTCTGGGGACACCTGGGGACACCGGGGACACCTGGGGACACCTTCTGGGGACACCGGGGACACCTTCTGGGGACATTGGGGACACCTGGAGACACCTTCTGGGGACACCTGGGGACACCGGGGACACCTGGGGACACCTTCTGGGGACACCGGGGACACCTTCTGGGGACATTGGGGACACCTGGAGACACCTTCTGGGGACACCTGGGGACACCGGGGACACCTGGGGACACCTTCTGGGGACACCGGGGACACCTTCTGGGGACATTGGGGACACCTGGAGACACCTTCTGGGGACACCTGGGGACACCGGGGACACCTGGGGACACCTTCTGGGGACACCGGGGACACCTTCTGGGGACATTGGGGACACCTGGAGACACCTTCTGGGGACACCTGGGGACACCGGGGACACCTGGGGACACCTTCTGGGGACACCGGGGACACCTTCTGGGGACATTGGGGACACCTGGAGACACCTTCTGGGGACACCTGGGGACACCGGGGACACCTGGGGACACCTTCTGGGGACACCGGGGACACCTTCTGGGGACATTGGGGACACCTGGAGACACCTTCTGGGGACACCTGGGGACACCGGGGACACCTGGGGACACCTTCTGGGGACACCGGGGACACCTTCTGGGGACATTGGGGACACCTGGAGACACCTTCTGGGGACACCTGGGGACACCGGGGACACCTGGGGACACCTTCTGGGGACACCGGGGACACCTTCTGGGGACATTGGGGACACCTGGAGACACCTTCTGGGGACACCTGGGGACACCGGGGACACCTGGGGACACCTTCTGGGGACACCGGGGACACCTTCTGGGGACATTGGGGACACCTGGAGACACCTTCTGGGGACACCTGGGGACACCGGGGACACCTGGGGACACCTTCTGGGGACACCGGGGACACCTTCTGGGGACATTGGGGACACCTGGAGACACCTTCTGGGGACACCTGGGGACACCGGGGACACCTGGGGACACCTTCTGGGGACACCGGGGACACCTTCTGGGGACATTGGGGACACCTGGAGACACCTTCTGGGGACACCTGGGGACACCGGGGACACCTGGGGACATTGGGGACACCGGGGGACATTGGGGACACCCGGGGACACCAGGGACACCTTCTGGGGACCACCTGGGGACACCGGGGACATCGGGGACACCTTCTGGGGACACCTGGGGACACCGGGGACACCTGGGGACATTGGGGACACCGGGGGACATTGGGGACACCCGGGGACACCAGGGACACCTTCTGGGGACACCTGGGGACATCGGGGGAGACCTGGGGGCACCTGGGGCAGCTTTTGGGGACATTGTGAACATTTGGGGCAGCTTTTGGGGGGGATTTTTGGGGCGTCCTGGACCCCTGGGTCACCTCTTGGGGACATTGGGGACACCTGGGTCACCTTTTGGGGGAAATTTTGGGGTGTCCTGAACACCTGGGTCACTTTTAAAGGGCATTTTTGGGGTGTCCTGAACACCTGGGGCAGTTTCTGGGGACACTGGGGACACCTGGGGACAGCTGGGACACCTTCTGGGGACACCTGAGGCAGCTCTTAGGGACACCTGGGGCAGTTTCTGGGGACACTGGGGACACCTGGGTCACTTTTTGGGATGTTTTGGATACTTGGGTCACCTTTTAGGGGGGATTTTGGGGGGTCCTGGACACCTGGGTCACCTTTTGGGGACATTTGGGACACCTGGGTCACTTTTTGGGGTGTTTTGGACACCTGGGTCCCATTTTGGGGGGGATTTCTGGGTGTCCAGAACACCTGGGACACCTTTGGGGACCTCCTGGACACCTGGGTCACATTTTGGGGTGATTTTGGGGGCTCTTGGACCCCTGGACCTTCTCCTGGGGCAGATTTTGGGGGTCCAGAACACCTGGATCCGCTTTTGGGGACATCCTGAACATTTGGGTCACTTTTGTGAGATTTTTGGGGGGTCCTGAACACCTAGATCAAATTTTGGGTGGGGGTCCCAGGTGGTTTTGGGCCCCTCCGTCCCCTCAGGACCCATTTTTGGGGTGTTTTTGGGGGTTTTTTTGGGTGTTTTGGGGGGGATTTCGGGAGTTTTTGGGGTGTGGACACCCTCGGGGACAGCGGCTGGGACATCCCCGGGGACAGCGGGGACACCCTCGGGGACGTCGGGGACAGCGGCTGGGACACCCCCGGGGACAGCGGGACCGGCCGTTGTCACCTCCCTGGGGACACTGAGACTGGCCATTGTCACCTCCCCGTGGACACCGATTGTCACCTCCCTGGGGACAGAGAGATTGGAGATTGTCACCTCCCTGGGGACACTGAGTGTCACTTCTCTGGGGACACTGAGACTGGCCATTGTCACCTCCCGGGAGACACCACGACTGGCAATTGTCACCTCCCCATGGACACCGAGTGTCACCTCCCTGAGGACAGAGGGATTGGAGATTGTCACCTCCCCGGGGACACCAAGTGTCACTTCTATGGGGACACCGGGACCGATGATTGTCACCTCCCTGGGGACACTGTGAACCACTGAGTGTCACCTCCCTGGGGACACCAAGACTGGCGATTGTCACCTCCCCGGGGACACCGATTGTCACCTCCCTAATTTTCACCCAAATTTCCACCCCAAGCCCCCAAATTTTCTCCGAAATTTCCCCGAATTTTCGCCCAGATTCCCCCAAATTTCCACCCCAAAACCCCTAAACTTTCACCGAAATTTCCCCAAATTTTCACCCAAATTTCCACCCCAAACCCCCAAATTTTCACCGAAATTTCCCCGAATTTTCACCCAGATTCCCCCAAATTTCCACCCCAAACCCCCAAATTTCCGCCGAAACTTCCCCAAATTTCCCCGAATGTTCACCCAAAATTCCCCCAAATCCCCCAAATTTCCCGAATTTCCCCGAATTTCCCCCCAAACGCCCCGAATTTCCCGTTCCCAGCCTGCACCCCGCGCTGCCGCTGCTGGCCACGGCCTCGGGCCAGCGCCTGTTCCCGGCGCCGTGGGACAGCGACGGTGACAGCGAGGGCACCGAGGAGGGGCCGGCCCCGGGAGGGGACATCCGGCTGCAGCTCTGGTGGTGGGGACCCGAGGACAGCGGGGACACCCTCGGGGACAGCGGCTGGGACATCCCCGGGGACAGCGGGGACACCCTCGGGGACGTCGGGGACAGCGGCTGGGACACCCCCGGGGACAGCGGGACCGGCCGTTGTCACCTCCCTGGGGACACTGAGACTGGCCATTGTCACCTCCCCGTGGACACCGATTGTCACCTCCCTGGGGACAGAGAGATTGGAGATTGTCACCTCCCTGGGGACACTGAGTGTCACTTCTCTGGGGACACTGAGACTGGCCATTGTCACCTCCCGGGAGACACCACGACTGGCAATTGTCACCTCCCCATGGACACCGAGTGTCACCTCCCTGAGGACAGAGGGATTGGAGATTGTCACCTCCCCGGGGACACCAAGTGTCACTTCTATGGGGACACCGGGACCGATGATTGTCACCTCCCTGGGGACACTGTGAACCACTGAGTGTCACCTCCCTGGGGACACCAAGACTGGCGATTGTCACCTCCCCGGGGACACCGATTGTCACCTCCCTGGGGACAGAGAGATTGGAGATTGTCACATCCCCCGGGACAACATTTGTCACCTGTATGGGGACACCTGGACCAGCCATTGTCACCTCCCTGGGGGACACCGGGACTGGAGATTGTCACCCGCTTGGGGACGCGTGACACCCTGGCAATGTCAGCGACACTGTCACGGTGTGTGTGACACCGTGTGACACCGTGAGTGTGACACTGTGACTGTGTGACACTGTGATGGCGTGTGTGACACCGTGTGACACCGTGGCTGTCACCGTGACCACGCGTGTGACATCGTGTGACACAGACAGCGTGACAAGGACGATGTGTGGCAGCGCAGGTGTCACCACACCTGTCACACGCTGTCATGAGTGTGACACTGTGACTGTGTGACACTGTGATGGCGTGTGTGACACCGTGTGACACCGTGGCTGTCACCGTGACCACGCGTGTGACATCGTGTGACACAGACAGCGTGACAAGGACGATGTGTGGCAGCGCAGGTGTCACCACACCTGTCACACGCTGTCACACCGGCACAGGGAGGTGACACTGGCACAGGGGGGTGACAACGACACAGGGAGGTGACAGCATCACAGGAGGTGACACCGTGTGACACTCGCTGTGTGTGACACGGTGACAGCCCCACGGTGACAGCCCCACCCCCCACTGTCACCCCCTCGGGTGCCCCCGGCCCCGGGTCCCCCCTGCTGTGTCCCTCCCCCCCCCCGGCCCCCCACGGAGCGGGTGGGGGAGGGGCAGCGGCGCCGTTGCCATGGTGACAGCAATGGCTGCCCAACCCCCCCCCAGCCCCGCGGGGGCGCCTGGCGGGGGTGTCACTGTGTCACCCCTGCGGGTGGCGTGGCACCCTCCCGAGGTGTCACTGGGTGTCACCGTCATGGTGTCACCGTCAGTGTGGCAGTATCACACCTGTCACTGTGTCACCTTTACGGTGTCACCCTCATGGTGGCAGTGTCACACCTGTCACTGTGTCACCTTTATGGTGTCACTGTCACAGTGTCACCACCACAGTGACGGTGTCACACCTGTCACCGTGTCCTCCCCACAGTGTCACCCTCAAGGTGGCAGTGTCACACCTGTCACTGTGTTACTTTACGGTGTCACCCTCATGATGGCAGTGTCACGCCTGTGTCACCCCCATGGTGTCACCATCACAGTGACGGTGTCACATCTCTGTGTCACCTTTATGGTGTCACCTTTACGGTGTCACCCTCACGGTGGCAGTGTCACACAGCCCTGCGGTGTCACACCTGTCGCCGTGTGACACACACAGTGTGTCACCTGTTGTCACCTCTGCTGTGTCACCCTGACCGTGATGGTGTCACACACACACACACTGTCACAGTGTCACAGTGTCACACACAGAGAATGTCACACACACAGTGTCACAGTGTCACACAGATGATGTCACACAGTGTCACACTGTCTCCCCAGGTTCCTGGACGATGGCGGCTACGTGCTGTACCCGCAGTGTCACACACACAGAGTGTCACAGTGTCACACAGATGATATCACACAGTGTCAGACACAGATGATGTCACACAGGATGTCCCCGTGTCTCCCCAGGTTCCTGGAGGCTGGCGGCTACGTGCTGTACCCTCAGATCGGCGACCGCCTGGACCTGGTGTGCCCGGGCGGCGCGGGCTACGAGTACTACAAGCTGTACCTGGTGGGCGGGGCGCAGGCGCGGCGCTGCCAGGTGCCGCCCGCGCCCACGCTGCTGCTGACCTGCGACCGCCCCCAGCGCGACGTGCGCTTCACCATCAAGTTCCAGGAGTTCAGCCCCAACCTCTGGGGACACGAGTTCCGCCGCCAGCACGACTATTACATCATCAGTGAGCCGTGACGTCAGCGCCGGGGGGGTGGCATTGCTGGGTGACGTCATTGCTGGGGGTGATGTCATTGCTGGGTGATGTCATTGCTGGGGGTGATGTCATTGGGAAGGGGAAGGGGTCAGGAGTGTTTTGGGGGCGACCTTTTCTCCTCAAGGGGGCTCGGGTGATGTCAGCAAGGCGGTGATGTCATTTGAAGAGGTGGTGATGTCATAACGAGGGGTGGTGATGTCATACGGGAGGGGATGGAGGGGGGACAGCTGTAGGGGGGAATTTGGGGAGGGTCTCGGGGTTCTTTCGCTGCCAGAGAGGTCCTGGTGATGCCACTGGGGTGTGATGTCACTGGGTGTGATGTCACTGGGGCGTGATGTCATCTGGGGCTTGGTGATGTCATCAGAAGGGAGTGACATCAGTGTAGTGATGCCGTGGGGGAGATGACAGCCATAGGGTAGGAATTACGTCACTATGGCGTCATCACTACCAGTGTGATGTCATCAGTGTAAGGGGCTATGACGTCACTGGGGTGGGCGATGACATCAAGGCAGGGGGTGGGTGTGACCAGACCCCCAGTGAGGTCAGGGGGGGTTATGACACGTGCGATGACGTCACCGATGACGTCACCGCGCCCCTCCCCCCCCCCAGCCACGTCGGACGGGACCCGCGAGGGGCTGGAGAACCGGCAGGGCGGGGCGTGCCTGACGCGCGCCATGAGGGTCACCCTGCGCGTGGGACAGCGTGAGTGCCCCTCCCCCGCCCCCCCGCCTTCAACCTAAATCCTCATTTTTAGGGTCCCAAATCCTTTTTTTAATGAAGAATTGGTCATTTTTAGTGCCAAACCCTTTTCTTTTAATGATCTAAACCTTCATTTTTAAGTTCTAATCCCCTCTTTTGCACCCAAAGCATAATTTTAAACAATTAGAGCCCAGATTTGGTGCTAAATCCCCAATTCCTGCAACCAAAACATCTCTAAAGGTCCAAGTTTCATTTTTACATTTAAAATATTCTTTTTCTGGTTCAAATTCTCAATTTTTAAAAGGTAAACCCTGTGTTTTTAGCGTTGAAAATCTCATATTGTTCTCCAGACCCACATTTCTAGGCCTGAAAACATTTATTTATTTTTATTAATTTATGGTCCTGAACTTCATTTCCCCTTATTTTGGAGGCCA